TGATGGACATTTAAATCACCATTTTTCTGACTACTGTGAATGTGTCTAAGAGCATTTGTGTACAAGTTTTCATTTTAACACCTGTTTTCAATTGTCTTGGGTATATTTCTGGGACTGGGATTACTAAGTCACGTGGAAGTTCCATTTTTAACTTTTTGAGGCATTGCCAAACTGTTTTCTTTAGTGGTCCAATGTTTCACATTCCATCAGCAATGTATGAGAGTGCCAGTTCTTGCACATCCTTGCCAACTCTTGCTATGTTTCATTTAAAAAAAATTAGAGCCATCCTAGTGGGTGCAAAGTGGGACCTCATTGTGGTTTTGATTTGAGTTTCCCTAATGACTAAAAAACATTGAATATCTTTTCATGTGCTTATTGGCCATTTGTTCATCTACTTTGAAGAATTGCCCTTTTTATCTATTTTGTCTATTTTAAAATTATTTTTCTTTTGTCCTTTTGTTGTTGTATGATAAGAGTTTGTTGTATATTCCCTAACTTTATTTATACTTTTATTTAAAAAATATAAATTCCTAAATATTATATAACTTTTCTCATGTTAAAAATTTTAGACATTTTGTCAAACTTCTCTAATATAACATAGTTCTTCTACAACTTAATTTTTTTTTTGCTCAATATTAGTTTGTGTAACCTGGTCATATTGATACACTATACATTGCTCTAGTTTATTCACTTGCATGTCTATAGTGTATCATATTAAAATTTTGTGACTATAACACAATTTATGTACTAATGTTTCCCCATGGAAATTTGTTATAAACAATGCTATTTATATTTCTGCTATTATAAACAATGTTCTATAAATGTTTTTGAACATGGCTTCTTGTACACATGTGACTGACTTTTTTCTAGGCTGCAATTCAGTAGTGAATCATTGGGATATTATCTTTGACTTTAATGGATACTGCCAAATAATTTTTGCCAATTTTTTGTTCCTCCTTGCAACAAGGACATTTCTATAGCCCCATATCTTTGCCACAATTTTGCCAGTTTGCTGGTTGTGAAATGACATCTTTTCATGGTTTTAATTTTAATTTGTTGTTTCTTAATTAGCAGTGAAGTTTGATATATTTTCATACGATTATCAGGCAAATCCCTTTTTTGAGAATTCCTTATTCATATTTTTTGTCTCTATTCCTATTGAGTTGTTTAATTTTCTAAACTGATTCATAGGAGCACATATTAATTTTGTACATTAGTTCTTTGTTGGAATTTCAGGACAAAAGGCAAATGTCTTGGATCAATTGATACTAATTTTACATGTGAGCGTATCTGGGCCAGCGGTATGCCCAGATATCTGGTCAAACATTCAGGGTAAGGTGTGCCTGCAAGGGCTTACCTGGATAAGATTAACATTTTAATTAGTAGCCAGAGTAAAGCAGATTGTTCTCCCTAATGTGAATGGGCTTTAGCTAATCAACTGAAGACTTGAATAGAACAAAAAGGCTGAATGAAAGAGATCATCTCCTATCTGAATGTTGTACTGAGACATTGGTCTTTTTCCGGCCTTTAGTCTCAGACTGGAACATTACTTATGTCTCAAGACTACTGATTTTTGGACTAGAAATTATACCATCAGCTCTCTTGGCTCTCAGGCTTTTTGGACTTAGTTTACAGTACACATCAGCTCTCCTCAGTCTCTAGCTTGCTAACTACAGATTTTGGGACTTGTCAGATACATGAATACAGTTAGATATATCCTGTTAGTTCTCTT